GTTCTGGAGATAGGGGGATGGAACTGAGAGAAGCGGAGTAGCTTTTACTTCACTCGAGATTACCTCTTCCTTACCCTTGAGCTCGGGCAGGTCGTGAGTGGCAGCTCAACGGCGCCTCCGCTGCTTCTTTGCTGGTTTGGTGTTTGTACTGCTGGCCTTTGTGTTACCGAGCTCGATGGGCCCAGGGAGGGTCTCGGACTGCTGCTGGTAGCTGCGAATTGAGGAGGGAGCGGCTGTTGGGCCTGAGGCAGTGGGGGAAACTGTTGTTGATACTGATACTGGGAAACTTGATGCAGCACTTGCTGCTGATAGAGTTGAAACTGCTGGAACTGTTGCATTTGAGCTTGCATAGCTCGCATGCATTGCATCAGGTCTTCAAGCTGGTTTTGGCTGGTCACCGGAGGAACGATGGAGGGTTCAGTGAAGGTTGTTCCAATCGTGTAAGGAAGTGGAGCGTTCACAGGTGCCACTGTCTGAGGCACATTCAGGCTGGGAACTCTGTCCGCAGAGAGGGGGACGGTGAACTGTCCAATGCAAACAGTGGGAAGCTGAGGTCGCTCCGCAGAGGCGTTTTGGTCGGCACCTCGTCCGGCATTGCTAGAGGAAGTCATGGATGCTGACTTGGGGAGGGTTAAGAGATTTTACCCCTCCCCTTGCTTTGTTGTATTTTCTCCTCTTTTATTTTTTTTTAATAAAACTTCAGTTACTTGTCAAAAAAAATGTTTTTTTTTTTTATCAATAACAGAACCAATTTTATTAAAAGAAGAAATTTAGTACAAAGAAGGGGGAGGGATAAACACTCTTAACCCTCCCCAAAAGAAATATTACAGTACAACCCAAAATAACCCATTCCTTCCCACCCCTTGTGTAGCAAGTGTATCAGCAACAGCATTTGCATCTCTTTTAGCCCAATTACAAGACACCTCTACCCTTGCAGCAATTTAAGGAATCCCTTTCACCAATTGAGCCCGAGAGGACTGCAAAGATATTTCCTTCTTCTTTCCTGGAAACTCCCCCAATGCCAAAAGGACCTGGATTGCCTTCACTGCTACCATCAAAGTTAAGTTTATGAAACCACTTGAGGGTTGGGACCACAATGGCCTGACCACCTCCTTGGCTGGAGTAGAATCAGTCACGTACCTCCACTTACTCATCACCAATGCCAGGAACATCTCTAAAAATATCGAAAGACTTTACCCAATGGATTACCTTGATGGTGATAGCTCAATGATAGCTTCTATACGTCTTGATTTTTAATGGAAAAGCCTTTGATTCCTCTCCTCCTAAATTGTCCAACACATGACTGCCCTTGTGCATCTCCACAATATTCTTCCCCTCTTTTTTTACCACAATGTCTCCATGTTTATTCCTGAACACACCACCAATGCTTGAGGGTCCCAGATTAACCAAAGCTGCGACCATCGCTTTCAACTTGTTTTTTCACCTCATCGCCAATAGTAAATTACAGTTTTATTAAAAAGGGCATTACCCAATGTTGGTCCCAGCTATCTGGGGTCTTGGGAGGGGGGAGGCCCGGAGGTGTAGACTATATTTCCCTCTCTTTGAGAATCAGAAGTCGTTTCCCTCTTATTCTTAATCTTTCTCCGATTGATGGGATTATTGTTTTCATCACCTTTCTGGTTTTTGTTTTTGGTCTTTGCTCCCTTCTTCTTAAATACTCTCTTAAATTTATTACAAGGACCCACCCCCAGAAGGCCATCCCTCAACTGATGAACAAAGTCTTCAGACATGAATCAAGTTTCCGTTATTTGTTCCTGTTAGTGGTGTTAGTGAAGGGGTATTTCGGTCTTTGTACTTGTTGAGAATGTTGATGTGTACTGTTATGTTAGWTCGAGTGCCTCTTACTTAAAGAAGAGCACTTAAGTCTTTTCCAATAAGTTAATAATATAATAACAGGTCTGGCCGAATCTAGGGAGACCTTTTTTCTCTAATTCGAACCAGCCTTTCTCTCTTTCCTCTTCTTTCTCTCTTCCTCTTTCCTCTCCTACTTCTTGCTGTTTACTTTACAGTCAACGAACAAAACAGAATTCTAGGGCAGGTCAAACTTTAACAGTTCCTTTAGGTTTTTACAGGTTCTCCACTGAATTGTTGTCAGCGGTAACCCCTTCAGCTACTTTCAGAAAACTTTTTTGATCTCAAATCAACCCCTAGTTTGCCCACGGCCACCTCAGTAACATCTTCTCAGGTATTTGTCTCTACCTCTCCTGTAAATCAATAAGTTCACAATGATTCACTACCTCCTCCATCTCCCCATCTTGAACGTCACCATCCTCTTCCAACTCTGCACAAGGTTCAGAAACAACCTCCATTAGATTATAATCTTTTTCTACATTGATCTAACTCTGACTCAGACAAGGCTTGATTTCTTGATTTTTTTTATCAATGTTGACGTTGCCTTGAGTGATATTTTCTCATCTAAGTCATCACCAGCACATGAAACTCTTGTTGCCCCAGCCATCGTTTCCGTACCTTCAATACTAGTTGATCTTGCATCACTTTTGCTTGTCTAATAAAAAATTTGAGGGCCCAAGTTACTTTTATACTTGAAAAGTACTAATGAATCACCACTTGGCAGTCTCTATTTTACCATCAAAATTAGTCCATCCGGATAAGAAATCTAGTTTCAATTCTCGGAGGAGTGCCCACAGTCTATTAATGTATTTCTTTTTTGAGCAAAAGAGCTGAGCTATTGGTGGTGATACAAGAATTGCAGGCTGGCAAGGTCTTTCAATATGAGATCACTGATAGTGGAAGGCAATTCAAGAGTGGTAGTTGGTAGCTAAAATAAAATAAAAAAAAAAAAGTATAACATTGTTTTACTATCTGAACATCATCAAGGAGATATTGGTTTTTGAGACGGTAATAGAAATTAATTTTTCCTACTCATAGATTAACAAACACCTTGTCAGATGCACTATCTAAACAAGGGTTAAATAAGGAGCAACATTTTTAGGGGATCATTGAGGCATAGGGTGTAACTATAAAGAAGAATGGGTTAGGTGGTCAATGTCAGCCTAAATGTGGATTGTCGGCATGATTGCATTAACCATTTTTATCATAATCTAATAAAGTTAACACTTGCCAATCAAAAACTGTATTTCTTTCTTCGTTGAACTGAACCAGAATTTGATACTGTTCAGCCATCTCCACTGATTCCTTGAACCCATTTTGAATGGTCAAAATGGTTATCTTCTTTGTTTACTGTCCCAGAAGGGAGTTTTTAGCCCATATAATCAGAGCTTGGAGCTATCTTCTTTGTTTACTATTGGCTTTCTTTTCTTTTTGATCAGTAACAAACAGAACTTTATTAGTTTATAATAGAAGAATGATGTACAAGATTGAGATTGTACTGAACACCCATTTTTTGGTAGACTAGCAGCTGCTACCTTCCCCCTACTTTTTAATTTTTATTTTTTTGTTCCCACTGATAGATTATCCTCCACTGCATCTGATTTCTATTAAACATTTGTCTTGCTAATGCATCAGCCTTACTGTTGGCTGATATTTGACTCCAAGTGTAGATTGTTAATTCAGCAAGAAACTTCACTCTCCTCATTATATGTGCCTATATGTCCAAGCACTTGTACTGTTGTCATTCAGCCATCCCACCATTACTTTCAAATCCCCTTCCACCATTAAATTTCTGAAACTATTGACTTTCTTTTAGTTAATGTTCTTGGACTTTGAACCCTAGGATCACCGTGGACACACTACTTGCAGCTATCACCCAGGCACTCTATCTACCCTTAGTGAGCCCCACTTCCACTTACTAAGGTTTGTCAAAACAAATTTGAGGCATGCTTTCCTTTACCCTTGCAGCTAAAGACATCCCGAAAGAGCTGATGGGGAAAATCTCAAAATTGTCCAGCTGTGGAATTTATCTATCATATAAGAGTGGCACACTCAGCTGGTAGATCTGGGTGGGTGGGGGGATTAATCCAAATGCATTGCTTGTGTTGCTCTGGGCTGTGCTTTGCAGAACCAACTAAAATTCAGGGGTGGCTGGGTTTTGAATGTTTGTGGAAAATGGAACTTCTATCTCATGTTGAGGTATTTTATTGTACCGTATTACCAGTATCATGGAAAATTACATCACATATAGGACAAGGTGCATACACGTACTCAGAATTTGAACAAGTATTCAACATGGAAACTCTTCCCATTTGAAGTGTCCGTGTTACATTGCATGGAAATTGGGTGTGAGTTGGAAGCTGAATATTGCAGTCAAACTGTGATTTGATCTTCTTGGACCATATAATATGGCATGTGTTTTGAGGGAAATTAAGAGAACAAGAATGTTCTTCTCGTTAAGGACCCACTGTTGGTTGTCTTGATTTCAGGCATACTGGGGATGGAATCACAGATGATGGTGGCAAAGCAGAACATATCTAGTTTCCATGTGACTGTACTTGTAGCATTCTGAATGTTTATCTTCATGGTTCCACGTTATTGTTTATTATCATGGAAATGGGAAAAACCGGGTCATGTATGAAGTATGATTATATCCTTTGATTTTAGTAATTTGGTTGAGCTTTTCTGTTTCCCAAAGTGTGGGTTCGTTTAGTTTTTCTGACTTTAGACATAAGATGGCTTATGGGAGTCATTACTGCATTAGCATATGAGCTCCCTTTATCAGCGATGGATAATTTACCATATAATATTCACTAAGACCATAGCAACGAGGAATTGGTGCTTCGGTTTTGTACCTCACAATCACAATTGCTGCTGCTTTTGGTTTCATTAATTGTTTAAAAAATGTAGCTTCCAGACATGAAAATACTCTGGCTGTTGAAGATTGCAAATGCCTTCTCTTGGAAGAGCTATGTTGTTAAAACAAGGAGAAAGAAAACCACCTGATAGGCTGATAATCCTAGATTTCTGACTTATCATTTTCTTTTAAATTGTAATGGGCATTAGCCATTTTGGCCCTGGTCATAGGAAAGGTACATTTATTCTTGAAACTGGGGATTCCCTGCTATAAATAAAAAATCATTGCGAGGCTAATCTTCATCATGTTAGTTGTTTTTGGGGCCGAGCTACGTCCGTTTTATGTAGTTCCTCCTATTTCTACCAAAAAAAAAAATCATTGTGAGGCCCTTTTCAAGCCATGAACTATGTATCTTGAATGAGTCCCCGGGTGTTAAGTCTTTAATTATGTTGAACGGTCAGAATCAAACTTGGTTTCTTACAATCTTCGTATCGTATTGGAGTCTTCTTGATATGCTCCTATGAGGGTGTTTTGGGGTTTTGATCGGTTCAGAGGGTGGATGGATCTTAAATTGGTCCCTCTGACCCAGATTTGGGAAGAAAATAAAAAAAAAAAAAACTATCATATTGACCGGTGGTGTATCGATATTTTGAACCTTGTTCAGCGGCTCGCACATCCTGACAGCAACTTCTTGAGGGCATTAAAAATCCCAATTGGAATGAATTCTGATAATTCAATACGCCCAAGTATCTGGACTGAAAATCAAGACGGCCGCATTCCACCTTGTTTGATCCCAGCAAAATCTTGCGAAAAAAAGTCATTTGCCCAAGAGCTCTGTACGATACACAGTAGATTGATTCTGGGTGAGAAGGGGAGTATTTTGAACTGCCGAGTATTTATCATGGTTTTTAAAATTGACCCAGTGACCGAACTGGTCAGGGGTCCGGTTACCAGGTTAAAAGGTCTGACCGTTCGAACTGAACGCTTGGCCTTTTTTGATAGAAAAATAAAAAATAAAAAATGGTCAAAATCATTTAAACGGTTAACCGCCTGGTTCAGCGGTTTGCTGACCAAAATCAATGGTTTTGGGGAGAAATCCGGTTTTTAGGGAAAATGGAACTGGACCGGTTCTTGGTTTTTTCAGTCCGACTGTTTGGTCCGGTCTGGTCTGATTTTGAAAACCATGGTATTTACACAAAAAAAAGATTATTTTTTCTTACTCTAATAACGCTCAAACCTACTGTGTATTGTAATGCAACATTGCAACCCACTTAAATATCAAGCCTAAATCTCAAGCAGACTGGAGAGGGTCAGACCGTTTCATGTCAGCACTATATATACATATTTAATTTATATTTTTTATTTTAAAAATGTTAAAAATTGCAATATGAGACCAAAAAAGCATTTTTTTTTCTCACAAAAATAGTGGGGTAAAGTGCCTATGGCCCTTTGAATACATAAATTTCAAAAAATTACCCAAAAAAAATTAAAAAAAAGATCATCATAATTAGACATTGGAGTGCAAAGTTACTGCTTCTAAAAGTATTGGGAGTGCAATCATGACTGGGTGACAGTTTGAACGGTTAAACTTGAATCAAAGTATGTTACATTCTCATTAGCATATGCAAAAAAAAAAAAAAGTGTTTGGAGTGCAATGGGTTTGATGATGTTTATAAAATAAAGGGTTTTGAAAACTAAAACAGCATAATAATTGTGAATTGTCAACTCACGCCTTATTGGTAGAAAAGACTTTTTTAATGAAAAAGCAAACGCCAGACGAGCACAGTCTCTAACCAACGCGGAGCCGTTGCGTTGCTGAATGTGCTGATGCTGATTGGTTGCTGACCAGAAACGTAATGGTGTTTTTGGGAACATCTCCCATTGACATCATCGGTTCTGGTGTATCATCGGGAGATATTCTCAATATACAGCGGGGATCTGCTGTAGGACATTGTGAGGCGGGTCTTTGTGGGGAGGAGATGTGATCTGAGAGATCCGAGCGGTTAAATGCACGTTATACTATAGATGACATCTCCTCCCAATAAGGACCCGCCCCATAATGTCCCATAGCAAATCCCCGCTGTATATTAAGAATATCTCCCGATGATAAAACAAAACTAATGACGTCATCATCGGTGCTTGTGGGGAGGAGATGTGAATTTCCTACTCAAATTATTCCAAATTTTCCACCCACGTCTCTACCCACCAACTATCAAACCTAAAACAACATCCCCCATGAATGATGAGGTGCGCACCTGTAATACTGTGTGGGTAGGGATGCGGGAAGAGTTTAGATAGTGGGTAGGAGATTCGATCTCGCATTCTACGGAGAAACAAACGGAGCCTACCCTACCAGGTACCGATTCTAGAATAGGAAGCTAAAGACCAGAGAAATTCACAAAACTCACAGCTAGGTTAACACTTGCTAACTTGCCATTAAAACCCGCCGACCGCTCCCTACTCCCTTTCTTCGTCCAACTGTCTTAAAATCTCTGTTGCAATTGTTCTGTTGCACCTCTCTTCTCTCAGTTTGTCTGCAGCTCTTATTTGTTCTGCCATGGCGGCTTTGAACCGCCTGCTTAGAGCGAGAGGCTCACCCTTGTGTTCTGAGACTTGTGTTAGGAGCTTATGTTCGGCTGTATTTTCCGAATCTCAGCCCCGCGTTCCGCCTTCCATCTCCCGTCACAAGTCTCTTCCTCTATGTCGAGATGTCGGCGACAGGAACGTCCAGTGGGTCTTCCTCGGCTGCCCCGGCGTTGGCAAGGGCACTTACGCCAGTCGCCTCTCCAACCTCCTTGGCGTCCCTCACATCGCCACCGGGGATCTCGTTCGAGAGGAACTCTCCTCCTCTGGACCTCTATCACGACAGGTTAGTTAGGGTTTCTTTTCCGCTTTGTTATTGCTTTTATTTTCTTCTTTTTCATCTTTCTAGTTTGGTAGCATAAGCAGATGAGATCTGTTTGCTTGGATCGATGGATCCGTCTCTAAGCTCTCTTTGGAGCTGGTAAGAAAGAACGCACACTGCAAATGCTTTCTATGTAGAGAAGAGAGTGCATATATCAATCGATTAAACGATTTATGCGTATCTCCCCATTAATTGGTCACTGAGTTGTTCTTCCTGGAGACGTAATTAATGATGTCGTGGAATTGAGGTTAGAGCTAGAGCTTGCTGAGTCAAAATTTTTATCACCTAGAACATTTAAGAATTATATCCTGCGAGTTAGGATGCTATTTAGTGTAGCACACTTTCTCAAACTAACTACGTTGGCATTTGGCAGTGGGTCGCACTCAATTCTTTTTTGGAAACTGGCATGAACTGACCTTTGTGGGCCTACATGGTACCCGAATTGATTTGATCATCATGAAAGGATGCCAATATAAATGTCATTTCTCAAATTGGAAGGAGTTTATTTTCCATTGAAGTATGTGGAAACTTAATTAATAATTATAGCACCCGGATTTGTATTGTCATCATATCTATAAAAGTCTTTTCTTTTTTTTTTATTTCCCTCGGTTTCTTATCCTTACCTTATTAGCTTCTTTCGTTCTTTTTTTTATTTTTCTTCCTTGTTTTTGTTTTGATTGATATATCTTTTCCTTCTTCAGATTTTGCCTTGGTTCATCTTGGCAAATCCTAAAATAACTTGGTCAAAACAACTCTGACAAGCTTTTGTGTAAGGTGCAAGCCTGCAAGGTAAGGCATTAGTCTAAACAAGGTGAAGCACAACCTTTGAGAAAAACATTGAGAGAATAACTTAATATACAAGAATATGAAAATCAAAATTCTGAAACAAATAGTATATTTCAAAAAGCCTGTTAGCTTAATTGGTTGGGGTGAAGCATCACTTCTGAAACAAACAAGGTGAGGCACACCTACAAAATAAACCTTGCTAGTCAGCCTCCCAAATAAGAAACGAGGTGAAGCACCACTTGTGAAACAAACAAGGTGAGGCACACCTACAAAATAAACCTTGCTAGCCAGCCTCCCAAATAAGAAACAAGGTGAAGCACCCTTCTGAAACAAATGAGAGAATCTAACACAAAGGTTGTAGCCTCGAATGTTAAGGCCCTACATATGCTAAACTGTTTAAATTGTTCAAATATCATGGGAACAACCTGAAATATAATAAATTACCCATTAAACATCAAATTCAAAGTTGAGTGGTGAGACCAAACTGGTGTGTCCTGTGTAAGTTGAGTGGTGAGACTGCCTTTCACCTTCTAATACCTTGCCCTTTTGTCTGTTTTATTTGGAATTGGTTTGCTTCCCTTTTTGGGTGCAGGTGGTCTTCTCCTGACAGGGTGGAAGGTTTATTCAGCCCTAATGATATTAGTGGCATGAAAAGGAGGGGTAGGATTCTATGGAGGTGTACTAGAGCAGCAATACTTGGGACTGTTTGGGAGGAAAGAAATGATAGAATATTTGAAGGAAAAGAAAAATGCAAGGAAGCTTTAGTCGAAACAATAACATTGAGGGTGGCACATTGTGTAAAAAGCTTGAAGTTGTTTTCAGCTTTTAAGGTCGAAGACTTTTTCAGGGTTTGGGGACTTATTGTTGCCTCCTCATCTACGAGAATAGTTTTGAGGCATGGTCTTCTCCAATAAATGGTTGGAAGAAGCTGAACTTTGATGGGAGTTGTGTGGGTAACCCAGGCTCTTCAAGCATTGGGGGGGCCATTAGAGATGAAAATGGACTCATTATTTCTCTGTACTCCGGTCCTGTGGAAGAGGGTGATGTGGCAAGGGCAGAGTTTCTAGCTGCAGCATATGGGGTTGAGAAGGCTAAAGAGTTGGGTATTAATAGACTCATCATCGAGGGGAGAATCCAAAACTGTGATAAAGTGCTTGCAGAAAGGGGAAGGGGTGACATGGCAGTTGAAGAATGATTTCCAAAGACTTAAATGGATGTCAAGGAACATGTCAATCCAGGTGGGATAGGTTAGGAGATCTGCCAACAGTTTGGAAGATAGTTTAGGAAAGCAAGGGGTTCAAAGAACACATATGTTTTGGGCACATTTGTAATTCTGTCCTGGGTCAGCTTACGAAAGCTGATTTCTTTCACAACTTCTTGTTGTATCCTAAAGTTTTTTAATTAATGAAATCTTTTCAAAGCTATTGATCAAAAAAACATCAAATTCAAAGTTATTTCATCAATATTAACAAACTGGGTACTGAAAAAATAAAAAATAAATAAATAACAAACTGGGTGAGACATCCTCAAAATGAGTCTTGCTTGACATGCGATTTTAGATGGAGTTCGTTCTCAAATCTGAAGGCCAGTTTGTTTACAGAAGTTGTGTAGTGGGAAGTTATACAAAGGAACATGAAATGGGAAAATGTGCAATGGGGTTAGGATGTAAGAATTTCTATTTGTCTTAGGTATTTATTATGCTACTTAGGATGTAACCCATGATGCAGAAGCTATAGGAATGTGGAACAAAAAAATACATCTCTTTTGTGGGAAGATAATTCTTTTAAGTTCTGCATGTACGCACTTCCCTTTATGACTTGTCAATCTTTAATTTAGGGTCTTGATTAACATAACGGGTTAGAGAACATCATGAGACCTCTTATGGGAATTAAGAATTTCAAATAAGGACTTCTTATTAATTGGAATACATTTTCATAGTCTAAGAAAGTAGTAGAAATTCAAATAAAGGCATGTACATGACTTTTTAAATTAATGAATCTTTTCTGTGTTGCTGATAAAAAAAATCAAATAAAGACATCTACCATTTTTTGTTTGGACCGCAAAGCTCAGGTAGCACATCTATCCCCGTTCTTCTTTTTAGTATAAATTTGATTTTACTGTGAAAAGGAAACCAAAAGATCTAACTTAAGATTTAAAAGTCAAATTGTGAATTTCCATCTAGAGACAATAATTCTAAACTAAGATGGCCTAAATGCTTTTAAAAGCTGAATTACTTGCTATTCTCCAAGGTTTGAAGTTTGGTATCTCATTTGGATGGTATGGATTCACAGTTGGAGACTTGTAGTGGTATAGTTTTCATTGTTCTTGGGTCATTAGATATCTATTAAGAGAAGTGAAGAGAGATTGATGTAGCGTCAACTGGTTCAGTTAGGTTGGATGCTAGTCTAACTGATATTAGCAACTAACTATATAATTGGATCAGTCAGGTTTAGGTTGTGCATGGTCAAGTTGCATTACCCACAAAATAAGTAAATTTGTTCTTAGCTCTCATAGATGTCACTGATTGTGAGAAATAAAGACACATGATTAGGATGCCACCACTAATTGGTTCTCCATCTAACAGAAGATCTAGATATGTTAAGTCTGGGTTTACTCTCTTTGAAGAATGACGTATATCTTCTCTACAACTATCCTTTCATTTGGGATGTTGGAAGTCTGCAACAAATGTACTGCTTTTTCTGATATTCTCTGAGCTGGTTGATTTCAAGCTGTATCACAAGTTCACAACTGCCAACAGTCCTTTGTTCCTCCCATCTAATTTTGGCATTCCCTTCTTATGGATTAGGAATACTTTCTTTAAACTATTATAAGGGTTTGTGGGGTTCATTAGTCCAACTGATGATTAAGGGTTGTATATTTAGTTTAAGCTAATGATTTACCAGTTAGTGTTATTCTCTTTTGTGTATTTATTTATTTTCTTTGTTGCCTTTTGCAGCTTGCGGAGATTGTAAATCAAGGGAAATTGGTTTCTGATGAAATTATTATAAGGTTACTGTCTCAACGGCTTGAAGCTGGGGAAGCTAAAGGTGAATCAGGATTTATTCTTGATGGTTTCCCACGAACAATTAGACAAGCGGTGAGCACTATTTTGTTGATAAAGTCCATACATTGCAAAGTTAAATTAAATATCCACTTTGAAGGCACAATATGGTAAAACATTATGTTAAATGGACAGTTCAAAATGGACACCATACCCACATAAGACATTTGTGGACATTAACATCAAAATGATACTTGATGGGACTTTTCTTTTTAACAACTGTCCTGTTGTGTATAGCATCCATTAAAAGATCTAACTTAAAGCTAAAATATAGCAGCTGACTCCCTAAACCCTAACCCTCTTTTTAGACTTGCCAAAGTCTGACACTTCGTACCTGGGTTAGGTTCTGACACCTGTACCGATATCCATGTAACATAGGTAAAATGTGTAGGCTAAGTCTTGTTATAGGGGCTTGTAGAGAATGTGAATAAGCCAGAGTCCCTGTTTCTGTTGTAAATGTTTATGGCTAAAGGTGAGGGGCCATAATTTGATGCTTCTTGTCTAGGTGTACTCTAAGCCCCCCCTCCNCCCCACCCTGAGAAAAGGAAAACCTTTTTTCAATAACCTTAACAAAATGGATCAAGAAGTTATTCTTTTGTCTTGTTGTCAATTATGAGTTTGGGTGCAGGTATCTAGGAGTTGGATCTGTATTACACAAAAATTCTTGGATATGGACTCAGCCAAATTTGGTCTGCCAATTAGTATAGATCATGACTCAAAGTATTGATACACCTCTGTGTATCGTTACTTTAACTGATACACTTTTTTTTTTGTTTTTTCTTTTTCAAATTTTAGTTTTAAGTATAATATATATATTATTTAATATAAAACGGAGATTGTAAAAACACCGGTAAACAGGTGTATTGGGGCGCAAAGATACGACACGATGTGTTGATACTTTTGACCTTGGTATAGATGGACACAACGAAGATAGGAAATGGATATTTGCTTTTCAGTCATGCAATAACCTATGTGTAAATTTATTCCAATATTAATATCCAAAAATAAATAAATTTTCTATAACAAAGTAAATCAGCTTGTCTGCTGTCTGTCAGGGGCATTTACATAAGCAGTCTTATATAACAGTATTTACTGATCAGATGCTTTATAGACATCACAATCTAGTTAAAGAGTTTACCCATTGATTGACTATATTGTTATTGAGTATTTGTAGCATGCATCTTGTAGAGAACAGGAATTTTAGTAGTTATATTTTCTGGGAATATGACAATTTACCCCATGAACTTGTTCTTGAATTGCACATAGAAAAAAGAAAATCTTATTCTTGAATTATTATTGTTAATTTGTTAATAAAGATTCTTCATGCACTTTCATTCATTAAAAAAAAAAAAAAGATTTTTCATGCACTGTAAAAGTTCCCTTGGCCTATTTAGCTTACTTCTCTTTGTTTTTTCTGTAGGAGATATTGGAGGAAGTGACTGACATTGACTTGGTGATTAACCTAAGGCTCCGGGAAGATGTACTGCTCGAGAAATGCCTTGGAAGAAGGATTTGCAGCCAATGTGGAGGGAATTTCAATGTTGCTTCCATTAACATCAAGGGTGAGAATGGGAACCCTGGCATATACATGGCACCACTTCTTCCACCTCCGAGTTGTGCTTCAAAGCTCATCACTCGATCTGATGATACAGAAGAAGTTGTAAAAGAACGACTCCGTGTGTACAATGAAATGGTATTATTCTATCTTAACCTAGTATTATCACTGCTTATGCTACAGTTTGAAAGATAGCTCCAATGCAAATTTGAGGTAATTCAATAATTGATCCATGTGTGTGAAAGTGATATCTTGTATTCCTATTGAGAGAAACTTTTTCTCCACTCTCAGATTTGGTTATGCTTGGGATGAACTTTTACTTTACATCATTTATATGAAATAATCATAAAGAAAGCCTAACAGTGTATTGTTCTTTCAAAGGAAACTGCATATTTGGGACAAAAAGCAAGAAGAATACAGTACAAGAAAAGGTCAAAAAGCTATGCAAATTCTCAAACCTATTTTTACTGGAACTGTAGAACTTCTGAAGCTTTTGATACCTTAGCTTCTTTTTTCTCCTGCTGGTTGGATTTGATTTCGTTAATAAAAAAAGGACATTTTATTTGAGAATATTTTTAACATTTTAAAGGGTAAAAGCATCTGAACATAACTAAAGTTGAAAGGAAATATGTAGCTTCAATTGCTATGATGATCATGGCCTCATGGGTTGCACATTTAAGCCCCAGTTTATGTTGGAATACTTTCCATTCTCTTTTTTGTTTTATTTGGCGGTGTGGGGGGGGGCTACTGAGTTTCTTTTTATTATAGGTTTTTGGGGAAGTGCTAGATGTTTCTTGTGAAGGGTATTGAGAAGGGCGAGAGACAGGCCTGTTGGAGTGTTTGTATTCTTTTTCCTAATTAAAAGAAAATTTATTTTAAAGAAAAACAAAAATGGAACAGAAAGAGTTTTGTAGCTCAAGTGGAAAAGAGTCCCCAAAAGTCCAAAACCAGTGTTCTAAGAAACGACCCAGAAATGGAACAGCGTTTCCATCAGAGTGGTGGGTCAGTGGTTCAACTATTTAGGTCAAAAGGGACGATCTGTGACATCATAAATATAATATTTCAAACATAGAAAATAGATAATATTACAAAAAAAAATGCAGAAAAAACTGGGCATATCTCTAATATTATATATTCATCAATTATCACAAGTGTTATAAAAACTGATAAAAAAACAAGTGTTATAAATGGGAATTATTGTTATTAATGATGGAAATGGCAAAAAATATAAAAAACAGAAAAAGAGAATTAATATCTAGCAGTTCATCTGGTCAGATCACTGGGTCATTGACTGAGTCTTGTACTCTTATTATTATTTTGCAAGGAAGCGGTTTGGGGGTGAAACAAACCTGGAACTCTGGCTGGGCGATGGGTTGACCAGTCTGACCGACTGGAATATGTTGCCCAAAATAGCAACCTAGTAGAAAAATTAGATTTACTTATGAGTAATCTATGAAATAACAAGTTTGACATAATAAACACCATCTGGCCGATGTATTTGTCATTTGCAGTTTCCAAATGGAGCAGAGCTGAAAAAGTTAAATGAATGGACATTCATGATCATCTGATTTATCAAGTTTTCCACATGTTAAAGCTCTCTCTCTCTCTCTCTCTCTCACTCACACACACACACACACGCACAGCTCTTACATTATTATCAGCCAAAGGAAACATTCATTCCAAATGTATCGCATCTGCTGATGATTTAGCCAATGGACAATCAACTTGGTATTCTCTTGGAGGAATTCATACTGACGTTATCTGCACTTAAACACTCAGATGTACTCATAATTAACTATTTTTTTAAAAGAAAATTATATGGTATCATCATCGTCATTATTGAGAAAGTTTCACCTGGTGATTTACGGACCAAAATTGTCTTGTTCATGCAGAGTCAACCTGTGGAGAAGTTCTATCGCAACAGAGGGAAGTTGTTGGAATTTGATCTACCAGGAGGGATCCCAGAATCATGGCCAAAGCTGCTGCAAGCTCTGAATCTTGATGACCATGATGAAAAACAGTCTGCAGCGGCTTGAGATGAGGTCCTTCGCATGTTTGTGCTGTAACATGCCGAGTAATTTTGACATAAAAGAACCATTCTTTTTCCTTGAAATAAAACTTTGAAATGCAGTCTGTCTTTTTTTTTGATAGATGAAATGGAGCCTGTCAAGTCAGGCTCTTTGAGATGTGTAGCAGAAGAGAACTACTGGTGTATTATTTGGAAAACACGGCATTAAATATCACAATTATTTATTTGAGTGTTGATTGTTTCGGGTTTCAAAGAATCTGTGTTTGGTATTAAATGTTGGAACTGGGTTCTCTAATTTAAGTTTGCTGTGATTCTTGGATGTTGATCAAGAAATTTTATTTTGGTGCTTGTTGAAGTGCACAAGGCAAATTAAAATGTGGATGTGTATGGCTTATTCTAACCTCAAGCTCGCTGGATAGCAATGTCCGGATCTCTTACAAGCAAAATTTATGCTCACATAGAATTCTAACGCACATGGGGAATATCTCTTGCACATTTATGTCAAATTCAGGGGGGATGTTCTCAATGTGCGTTGGATTCTATGCTTTTTGAGTGTGCAGAGTTTTTGTTTGTAGGGAACCTTATTGTATTTTATTTGAGCGTGGTAAGGTTCAAGTATCGATACATCTTATTGGTATTAAGCTTTTATTTTTTTTAATTAGTTTTTATATAATTTTTATTAAAAAAGAGGGGTCTCCAAGAAGTCTAAAAGGCATGATATGATACCGGGCATATTGTATCGTACAAGTAAAAACTCGATTCACCAAGTTGCAAATTGGGAATATATAATATATAAGTTTAAAAAACGGTTAAAACTGTTGAACGGTTCAAATGATTCAACTGCCCGGATCAATGATTTATTGACTAAGTCAATTTTTTTTTTTTTTTTGCAAATATCCGGTTACCTGACCCATTTGCTGTATATATCAAGAATTTCCTTTCATGGCTATGAGGCTCTTGTGTCAACCAATTGGCTTATGCCAACTGTCCTATCAGATTAAACAATATCTTTTTTTGATAAATTATACCCTATTTTCAGGACCACCAAGAAGGTAAATGCTACGTACCCATCCTCTTTCAATCAGGACTGTTCAGTGGGTAGACGAGACACTCACAGTCATTGATTGGATTCTTTGAGCACTTGTAACCTTTTGATTTGCAAAGGTTGGTCTCTGTCCTGTTCTTGGAAGGGAATGTGAAGAAATTATCTATCATTTATCATTTTCCACCTGTCAGCATCCATGTCCATTTATTTCTTATATATAATCCATACATCCGCGCTTTATATATTGTATCGTATAAGCCTAAAAACTGTCAAAACTGTTGAACGGTTCAACTGTTTGAGTCAGTGGTTTGCTGATTAAATCAATGTTTTTTTGCAAATATCCGGTTTTGGAGAAAAATAGAACTGATCACTTGACGGGTTCCTGGTTTTTCTGGTCTAATTTTGAAAACCATGCCTTTAATGCATATAAACCAAATAAAGCAAAAACTATAATAAAAATAAAATAGTGTTAAGAGTATCATCCTACATTATCCTTGCAAGTCATGGTTTTCTTACCGTTTCTATATGTACTATCAACTGATTTGTTTACTTCTGATTTGGTGTTTTTAACATGGTTTCCACATTTTGTTTCTAAAGGCTCAGTTTTGAAAGAGTACAAATACATACAAAATAGGGAGAATGAAGGTTCTGCCCTGGGTCAGAATTTCTGAGCCCAAAGTACAATTGGAGTAGGTGCCAGCTCGGAATTGATGCCAATTAGGCATTGGTGTATAGAATGGGGGCTTTGACATTTTGAATGTTTATAGCTCTGCAGTGGAATCAAAAATCTGCATTGGACGTGTCTGTACTTTTCCATATAAAATAATAAGATTTTGCACAAGTTATATATTTGTATTTATACTCCTTCCAAACTGAGCCTAACGGATCCACAGTGGTAAATTATAATACCTTTTTCTTTGGTAATTTTCTATAATTCTACTTGACAAAAAGAATTAGAGATCTAATTTTAACATTAGGGTGGTGCAATAATGAACAAATTTTCTGCATAAAAAGATATAATAAAGGGTTCGACTATAATATGAAAAATATACGATATCTGAAAAACTTTTGATCAGTCAATTGGAATCATAAAAGTGATAGTTAATTAGGTGTTATTTATCAAAATTCATGGGTGGGTTTTGATTGGTCAAAACTCTTCCTATACCATATTTCCTATAATAAATATTTTTGTTGACATTCAGCATCCAGCCCTTGAGTTGACATCATTTCCTTATGAATTTAACATTATGAGGAAGATATTCTCGGGCTGGATGTCATGCTTTTAGTGTTTTTACTTTTAGGAGATTCAGGCTCCTTGCTCTACAGTCTCTAATTAGTTGTGACCACAGGAATTGAAGTGAGAGAATATATCATGAAGCATCATTCATTCCTCCCTCGTTGGATTTAGACATACATGGCCTCGCGACGTTGAAAGTGAAAGAAGAATATATGTATCGTGATTGATAGATTGTGGTGGGAAGCTGGAATTTCAATTCTCAAATGTGGACCATCTGATAATCAGATGTATCTCTTACTGGCCAATTTTTTGTGTAATTAAGGTCTTGTTCGCTTTTTGATAAGTTATTTATCCAGGTAAATATAGTTATCTAGGTAAATTTTTCCTGGAAAACACTTACCTGAGGTCTTCAACTTTACAATGTGATTTTCACATGAAAAACCGATAAATTATGTTTGGTGAGAATCCTGGAAACCGATAACTTTACAATGTGATTTTCATTCAGCTGAAAAATTGACTTTCTGATGATGCTGATTTTAATAGTTTCTTCAAAATGGTTCAGTAAAAGCAATTCAATCAAAGTTGATGCCCCCTAATAATGAGCCCTAAAATGCAAGATACAACAACGTAACTACATTGTTGCAAAAAGCACAAACAAATGTGACAAACAATTTGGATTAGCTGAACGTGATTACCATTTAACGAATTGTGGAACCAATGATAATGCCCCATGTCAGCCATAAATGCCAAGTGATAGATTGAGTGATTGTGGATCCCATGTTTTTATGGTTGGGTGTGGTGTTATCATTAGAGCCCGTTTGGGAGGATTTCTGCATTTGGGGTGCCTTGTGTTAATTGAACTGGAATGGTTGAGCATTGATGTTCTGGAAAAGCTACTCAAAGTGGCTTCATATTTTAGCATTCGGAAAGATAGAAGTGAGTTTGTTTGTTTGTTCTGGAGCCTGATATCTGAAATTGCAATAATTATATTAAAAGATATATTGGTATTAGTGAACTTTTCTTTACTCTGAACTCTGAATGCAGGGAATGTATTTTTGAATTCTAAATTTTGAATTCTGAAAATGATCAAATATCCATTTTGATTTTATATATGAAAGTTTTTGTTTGTCTTTTTTGGTGTATCAATGGAAAATAAAAAATTGTATGATTGCACTTTAAGAAATAAGAAATAAGAGGAAACGAACAACCATTTTTTTCTTAAAGTTAAAAGATTCCTCTTAAGAAATAAGAGTTCAGAGGAAACGAACAAGCCTCATGGTAGGTTGTTGTTGGAGCTATGGTTTAAACAACACTAATGAAAAAAAATAAAACCTTATCCTTTGTCCATATATATAAATGTTCTCTGTTTATTTGAATCATTCAAATTCCAATTCAATTCTAAGGTTGTGTTTGGTTGCATTGTTGCAAAACTATGGTAGTGCAAATTCTGATTTATTTTTGTTACAAAAGTTATCTTATTTTGTTTGATTGCAGCATAAATGAATGAAGTAAAATAAAACCTGAAGCAGAATGAGGTAAAATCCAAAACAAAATTAAACTAGAATTTGCATTCATTTCATTTGCAATCTCATGCATTTATATCACATTCTGATCCAATAATACATTTCAATCTTATATATTTACAAAAGGAGTCATATATTTCAATTTTACGGGGGTTACACTCAAGTCATTTTATTTATGATATCTGATATCAAATTCACTTGGAAGTTTTTTATTTTTAACTCATGTTCCTTAAAATACCCCCAACCTACCCTCGAAAAGATTAAAATCAATTTTTGATACAGACGTAGAATATTTATTGTGTATTCATTCACTGTGCTTATAATGCTTCACCTACTACAGCCAGACTCCAAAACTAAGATCTAGATATATAACATACTAGATGAAACCCGTGCGATGCATGAGATTTATCAAGAAAAAGTACAACATGCTAGTGGATTTTTCTGAGCTCCCAAACTAGGATATGGATATATAACATATATGATCTTTATCTGCTTGTTGTAAAGTCTCTAACTTGTTGTAGCAGAGACCTAGAGTCGACATGTGAATGATTGCTTCCAGATGACTAGTGGACGAATTGTGAATGTGAGAGCATGTGGAACAACCCAGAAAAGAGATACAGACGAATAAATATAATTGAAAAGATTCAAAGAGAGAGTGAAAAAAGAGGTAGAGGGAACCTCCACGTAATAACCACATACACAAAGGTCAGGTCGAGTTTGCTTGTTTCAGGCCAGAAAAATAAAGCTTGTGGAGGCTGGGTGAGAAGAAGATGCGAAATCGATGCCCTAAAAGTAAAAAATAAAAATAAAAAAGAAAGATGCAAAGGTAAGTAGACGTTGACACAGCCGGAATAGCCACTCAGTCACTCACCATCCCTTACTTTTATTTTCCCTGTAGAAACCATTGATAGACACGATATACCTTTAGAAATGTCTAGAAACGGTTACACATCCTAACTTGTGTTGTATTCGCAAATCCAAAATTTTGTTCGGTTTGGATAAGAATGCAAATACAAATTTGTATAGTATAAATCAATGTTTTTAAACCATTATTGATTCAGACAGTCGGACTATTTGGCTCGAAAATTATTCAGGCAATCAGTTTTATTTTATCTTAAAATTGATCTTTAATAAAAAATTGTTGAATTAGCCAATAACCCATTGACTTAAGCAGTCGAACCATCGATTCATTCAACAGTTTTTTTTTTTTTTTTCTGCCAAAACAGGCCATTTATTTAAAGCAGGCAATCAAACCATCAACCCAGAAACCGGTGCCCATAACTACTCCGTTCCGGATTGATTTTTAAAACGTTGGTAGAAATACAAACAACCTTGATGATTGGGATTCAAAAGAATTCGTACAGTAATCCATTCATCTAATGGATCTATGAAACGAGGCTCTAAATGGGCCCATTTACCTAGAATAGATTTATTGGGTTTTATCCG